AATACATACTATGTTTAGATAGGTAAGAAAAGCCACAATTTAATTTAAAACATGAAGAAAACATACTTACATTTTAAACAGAAGAAAAATTGAAACTCAACATTGTCACTTTCAGGGACCACCACTTAACCCTTCCTCTCTCTACTGTGTCCCAACCTACTCTCTCTGTCCCTCTTCCGGCTGTTCTTTTTTTCAGTTTTATGACCCTTTGCCTACATTTCTTATTCCCCTTTTACAACTGTACACAAATGGATTACACATGGACCGACAAAATCGCATCTGAGGGAGGACGCAGAGGTACAATATCACTACAGTTGTGTTTGTGCGTTACGTTCGGTTACAAGTGTAACACATTAAGTCAAGACATTGCGAGCGATCGACTTGTTGGCCACCCCTGCTATAAGCCTTACAAATGTGGAGAGCTGCAATCCTTTGAACAGATAACAGTTTTTTACAATTATGGACTTTGGCAGCCACGTTGCCCCAGATCTGTACTGCATAGGGGCCACGTGGCCACCAATGTCCATAACCATAATATTGAATTACAGTCAAACCTTGGATTTTGAACACTATATTTGCCCTGGTTGCTGAATATGCTACTTGGCAAGAGACACAGACAGTTAACTCCATATACTTCCTGTATTAAAGAAAGTTGACAGTCCAACCAATTCATGGTGGGACTACTGATTCAGAAGTTAGTGACGTCGAGATTGCGCAATTGTTAGATGTCATAACACATACTACTGATGACATTATTCAAATTATATTTCAATGCGCATGCGAGTAAGATATTACTTCTGTTTTTCAGTACACATTTCAATTGAATTTAAATCAAATTAATTAATAAAAACGGCATTAATTGACATTTGTGTAATATAAACAACATCCATAAATCTATGTTTAATTTAAAGGTGTTTAACTCAAATTAAAGAACAAAAATTTATTGATATAATATTATGTATTACAATATTAATAATTTAATATTTATTAATACTAGATAGCCAGTTAATTAGAACTAAAAATAATAAAATAATATTTGAAAGTCTAGTTTTTACACTGAAACTGAAATTGAAACTAAAATAAAATGTAAATTAAAGCAATTGAAACATAATATTTTGAAAAGTGTGATAAAGTACTTGTCTCTCTTGATTGATTTGGTTATACCGTAGACCCCTCTATAACACTGTTGATAATTCCATATTATATGAATTCCATGTTGAACGAGTCACTTAGATTTTACAAATACGTGAGCTGTTCACAGCCTGGCACACGTATTTGTAAAATCTAAGTGACTTGTACAACATAGAATTCATATAATATGGAATTATCAATAGTGTTATAGGGGGTCTACTGTATTTCATCCAAGCAGAGTTGAGTTTCTATTTATAGCACTTTTTTGTAAATTGATGATTTCAGTTTTAGTTGGTGATGGAACATTTTGCTTTTAATATGCATGATGGTTATAAATTATTGGGTGTATTTCAGGAAGGAATAAAAAAATAACATAAAAACATAGTGACCTCTGTTTTGTTTCAAATGATAGATTAGCTGTAAAAGTTTGTGCTGACCTTGACTGAATGTAGATTGCACTGTGATGGAAAATTAGGGAACATTTTCCAAGGATACAGTGACTAGCACTATATACCTTGACATGTTGTAGGGTTATGCATGTGATATCACAAATTGAATACTGACAACTGAATGTTTACTTTCTGTAAGATGGGGCACCTCTACACTGGCATTTAATTGTTCGAGACGACTTACAGGAAAAATTTCATGAATGTTGCATTGGCTGCAGAGGATCAATTTCCTGGTCAACTCAATTCTCCAACATTACACCACTGGATTTCTTTATTTGGGGTTTGTCAAAGACAGGGTGTACATAACAAATGTTTGCAATATGGAAGAACTGAAAAGACAAATTGGTGAACTCAGTGAAGGAATAATTGCTGAAATGCTATGTAACACATAGTGCGAAATTGAATGCTGCCTGGATATTTTATGTGCTACACATGACTACACATGGAGCTCATATGAAATTTATTTATAGTGTAAAATAGTTGATTTAATGATCTATTAAATAAAACAGCCTACATGTGAATTCTTCATTGTGTTTATTTTTATTCCTCCCTGAAATGTGCTCAATAATTTATAACCACTCTGTATATATAAAATGGATATAGATAGTAATATATATAATATTATATTGCATTTGTAGGCATTTTTATGCATGAAATAAGCTAAAAAGGAAAAAAAGGGCTTTGTTTTTGGGGTCAGGAATGGATTAATCTATTTTATATTGTTTCTTATGGAAAAATTTGTTTGAGAACAGATCAGTTTTTGAACAACTTTTAGAAACAAATTAAGTTTGAGGTTTGACTGTAGTTGATATCCAACAAAAAGCATATTTATTCTGTGGATTTATTGAATTAATTCTATAGACAGAACAAAAACAAAACAGACTAAAATATAGAAATCATTTGATTTTTTTATTTTATCAGGAACATTTCGGAATTTCATTATTTAGTACCATCTGCATTCTAGTAGAACATCTCTCAGATAGAACAAATTAACAGTAATCTTAAAAAGTTTCTTATAAAATAAAAACTAATGACTCTCAATCTCAATATCTAACTGGTCAAAACACCTTAATTTTCTAGAAGTTATCACATCCACAGATGCTGTAATTACTAGCTAATCAATAACTTTACTTTACCTGGGTAAAATAAACTTGTTGATGGTAAAATAAAACTGTTGATTGACTAGTAATTATGACATCTATAGTTGTGATAATTCCAAGAAAGTTAAGATGTTTTGACCAGTTATATATTGTAATTAAAGAATAGAAGCAAAGTATAAATTATAGATCATAAAAAAACTAACGACTTAATTTTTGTTTAATTTTTTGTTTTATTTATGTATGTACCAAATAATCAATTTTGTAGAAATATCAAAATAGAAGATATCTTTGTTTGAAAATATTTTTGCTTAAAGAATAATTTTATTAACTAATGTTTATAAAAATATTTATATTTATCTATGAGAAAAATATATTAGATTATGTTTCTTGTTTTGAGGAAATCGTTTACCAAAAGTTTAATATTATTGCATTAAACTGTATTTTAAGAACATTTAAAAATATTTTTTATTTTATTTGCTTGTTTATAGATAATATATTCTGTAAACTTATATTAGTAATTTGTATTATTTAATATTAGTTTTGTGAATGTAAAGAAATACTTAGTTTCAATTTCATGATGAGCTCAGGATATTTTTCTTCTAATTATTAATTAGAGATTCAGACTATGTACAAAAATTAATGTAAAGGCGTCAGATACCTAAAATGAAAGGCTGACGTCTGATCGTTTTTAATTGTAAGTTTTTACCTATTGTTATATGTTTTTTATGAAGTGATTTCTTCAAACCGATGTAAAAGGCTACTTCTGTGGTGTGTGAAAAAGGATGAATTGATAGACTCAAAAATTAAATAATTTTTTATACATAGTCTGAATCTCTAATTAATAATTAGAAAAAAAATAAATAAATAAAATACTTAGTTTCTTTAATGGAAATATTTAAATTTTACTGACTGAAAATATCGTGTATTAAAATAATGCTAATTGACTATAAATTTAGCTTTCTGTTTGTAGTGACTTTGTTTCCAATAAATCAGAAATTATTTATTCTAAGATAAATTCAGAAATTATTTTTAACAATTGGGACTATTAATTCAATAATAATCTTTATTTTGATTATACTAAATATTACTTTATTACAGTGGTTACCGAACCCTCTTCTTTTGTGACTTGCAGCTCCTTAATCTTCTTCCCTATATATATGGGTTACTCTACTCTACTATAATATAGTATGGTATATATATATATATATATACCATACTATATACTATATTTTAGTAGAGTAACCCAGTCTAGGTAGTATGCTGCATATGCATTGGCTTTAACTCATTAAGATTAACTTCAAAATAGAAGTAAAAATGTTATAAGAAACTGTTTCTCTGTCTTTTCTTTTTTTCTATTAATTAACAAGGAAAGAACATACCTTAATTCTGAAAAACAAAAAAGAAAAAGTAGAAAAATTCTAGAGAATCTCAAGATACACAATTTAGACAGGCATACAAAAAATGCACTGCATAAATGTTGTCAGTGTATCACTAATAATTAAAATAATGGCTAACCTGGCTTTGTTGTTCCAATTAGTTGACAGCACCCTTGGGTATTGCAATGCACAATTTGGAATGACTGTTACCATAAAACAAAAAATTGGGACTTAAAATATCAATAAAATTTATTTTATATTGAACATTTTTTATTAGAGATTGGTTATCAATGATTGATGATTAACATTTTAATCATTTTTTATCAGAATTTGGATAAAATAATATATGATTTTGTTCAAAATATTTTAAAAACCTGTATTTGATTTTTGACTATTTATGAGTTGATGATGATCTCTGATTAAAAACATTCTTTATAAAATAGGTATTATTGGTATATTCAAACAAATAATAATTGTATTTTAATGAAGATAAAGTCAAATTTTATAGCCTTTCATAACACTAATGTAAAATTATATAAAAAAGAAAATAATAAAATTATCTTTCTTTTTATACTGGATGCTTTTGCTTTTTTTTTTTTAAATAAAAGTATGCAGTATTTTTTATTGCTGTCCTTGTCTACTAATTGTAGAATGCAGAAAACTGCTAAACTGCTCTTTCTTAGTCCTGTCTTTATCTTATTAAATAAGGAAAGAAATTTGGAGTCAAGTAGAATAAATACAGATAATTCATTTTAAGTGCTTGTAATCATATAAAAATAATATAAAATAATTAAAATTATTAATATAATAGTTGTTTTGTTTTTAAATTTAATTGTTTTTAATTAATTAATAAATAAATGAGAAAAAATTTAGTAAGTAAAATGTAAAATTAAAATATTTTACTCTGTATTTTTAATAAATTAATGTATATATTTTTTATTTAGACGAAGATGAAGATATAACCATTTGTTTGTATGACAATGTATCATATCAAGATGGAGAAGAATGGTATCCAGACCCTTGCACAACATGCAAATGCTTTTCTGGAAATCCAGTATGTGAAACAGAAAAATGTCAAGAAATTGAATGTAAAACTCATGAGTTCATTCCATTAGGAAAATGCTGTCCTATATGTGCAGGTATATGTTTTTGATTCAGTAGTGGAATTAAGTTTGATAGGGACTAACAAATAAACTTAAATTATAGTAATTTTATAATATATTGTATTGTACTGATACAAATGCCAAAATAAAAATATTGCCAGTTTCAAAATGAAAATAGTTTGTATCAATATTCAATTTAGATCAATATTTTAATTAATATTAAGTTTAGGGTCTAGCTATACTTATATCATATCATACAGTTTTATTTGGAAAATCCTCATAGTTCATAAATCTGCTTCACATTTTGTATAATTTCTCCTATTGTATTACAAAATTTTTATTACTTAGAGATCAAGTGTTATTTTTCTGAATTAACTTTGTCTAATGAACAGCTTAAACTGGTATTGAAATACCAATAAATCAATAATACACTTTATTTATATAAGTAGCAATTATTTAGTAAGCAAAACTTCTTGACCTGATGAAGACCTGTTTAACAGGTTGAAAACATTTGCTTATTTAATTATTGCTGCTTGTTTAAGGTGTACTGTTGATTTATTAACTTTCTTTCTCATAAATTTTCAACTTTCTTCAATGCAAAGGAAAGAGTTGTATATATTTTTCTTTATTTTTAAGTAATTTTACTATAGTTAGCTATCTGGATTGAATCTTTAAAAGGCTTGCATACAAACATTTAATAGAAAATAAAATTTATAAAAAGTAATATTTTAAAGATTATTTTAAGTATTTTAAAATTTATATTATAAGTATTTTTATTCAATTCTTTGCAAAACCTTTCTAATTATACCTATTTTTTTAAATAAATGTTCAAAAAAGAACATTTATAAAATATTTTTTTAATAAAATTTTCATATTAAATGCTTAATGACTAGGTCTCTTCTTTTTTGATCAATAAATTGAATTAGAATGTAAAATGTGACAAGTTTTCTTATGAAGGATATTTATCACTTAAAATCTATTAATATTTAATTATGAAAATTTCAGATGAAGAAGAAGGAACTGGAGGTACAACTGATGTACCAGTAAGTTTCAATTTGTTTTTTTAATTAATAATATGACTTTAATCTGTGATTGGTAACTTTTCAATACTGATTGTGTGTGTTTTTGTCACTTAATCTACAGGGTGTTTCGAAACTCATGGGCAAAATTTTAAGGGGTGATAGAAAACATCTAAACAAGCAATTTTCACTATACATTACATGGGCGGAGAGCAATTCATAGGAGGTATCCATTACTGTCACCAAACACCAAACAGATAGAGTAGATACTAAATAATTTTTTTGACAGCATGTGTGGCAAAATTACAGAAACTGTTCAAAAGAGCGACCACCTGCGGTAATGCAGGCATTACACTTGCGACATAGGGAGCGGCGCATTTTTCAAACACACTCAGCATCTCTTGAATGGCACCGGCAGCAACAGAAATCCTGGCAACTAGGTCTACACGAGACTTTTCAAATGGCACCACAGGAAAAAGTCCAGGCAGGAGAGATCGGGCGAGCATGCAGGCCATGCTTTCTGAAATCCGCGGTAAAAATGACGATGTATAAGAAAACTCACTCTTTAATCTTTCCATTACAGCGCTGTCTAGTGGTTCACCACTTGCTCTCCGCCCATGCATTGTATGGTGAAAATTGCTTGTTTAGTTGTTTTCTATCACCCCTTAAATTTTTGCCCATGAGTTTCGAAACACCTTGTATAAAACCTTTGTTGTATGTTATTATTATGTGTTAAGAAGATAATGTAAAATTGAAGAATGCCAAAAAACAATCATTTTTACGTATATTCAATGCAATTTTAGATATTCTACAGTATTATAGAAAATGTATACAATACATATATGTAAGGGAGCTGAAGAAGTTTTACTTCTCAGAATATTAAAAATGAAAGTTATTAGCAATAGTGTTGGCTGACATGATGACCTCAAAGATTAGAGCTAATTAATACAATTAAACTAAATCAGCTTTGAAGAAGTGAAATCATAACGTTGAAATTTTAATTAAAATTTTGCATTGTTTTGCAAATTGAGGCAATTATTAAATTATATTTATCCAGTAAAAATAAGAATAATAGAATTAAGACTATTTATAGAAAGTAAGTTAGATGACTATTTATTAAAGACCATCTTGGCTTAGCATTTTTAAAGAAAAATTAGAGATATTGTGCTAGATGGTAGCTTTGATCTTTTATTTAGCAATGAAAAAAAAAAAAGATTTATTAACTTTTCTGAAATTTTGATATATCTGAAGGTAAATAATCCTTGTTAAGATTAACAAAAATTGTGTGGGATTGTTTTTATATTATTATTTTTTTGTTTTAATTAAAATTATTATTAACTTTTTGAGTTTTGAAGAAAAAAATTAATTGTGTAATTGAATGAAATATAATTTTTATTTTAAGAAGCTTGAAATTATAATGAATAATAAATTATAGACTTTCTTTCTAGAGGCCACCAGATCCAGGTCTTCCACGAGAACCTGTGATACCTGTTGTAGGGGTTCCTGGAGAAAGGGTAATTCAATCAACAACTTGAGAATTTATTTTAATTTATTTAATTTTAATATTTTAAGTATTAAAAGTTGTATTTTAATTATAATTTTTAACCGCTTATTTAAGTTTGATAATATCAAATGGAAATTTTGTATATCTATATTTTGTTACTTGGTTTTTATTTTAAAAATTAATTAAATATTTCATACTTTTAGGGAACTCCTGGAGAACAAGGATTTCCTGGAAGACCAGGAGAAAGGGTAAAAATTTTAATTTTTGACTGATTTAAAATTTATTGACAACATTATTTTATTTTACAAATAGTCAAAATTAAAAAAAGTTTTGTTTGTTTTGCTTGTATATAAATACAGTGGTACCTTGGTACTCAAACCATTCCAAACTCAAACAATTTGGTATTCAAACACATTTTCAGGGAAAAAATTGCCCTGTACTCAACTGAACAATCATGACCCACTGAAACAAATTTTTGGTTAATAACAAATATTCTTATCTTAACTTTAATTTTGTCATCTGTAGAAAAGTTTTCTATGATAAAAACGAGTAACTAATTTAAAAATAAAATGAAACCTTACAACTACCTATCTTCATCAGACAAAATTATACTTGATCCAGTTTGTTTTTTTTTTGTTTTCACTTAATGCATGTGGAACACAATCATTATGTTTTGCAATCATTCCAAGTTAATGAAGTGTTTCAACAATACATGTCAGTGACACATTATTTGTTGCAAGTTCACAAGTTGTCATTTGTCAATTTTTAACAATTTCTTCGGGAAATTTTTTTGTTGACACTTTTGAGCACCTTTCTATTGTGTATCCTTTAGTTCAGAATTTCCCAAAAGGAACTTTTAAAATCACATTTGATATGTTCAAAGTTTTTGGAGCATCTTTCCCTTACACATTATGGATTTTTTAGCATTATATCCTTTACAAAATTCAAAAAGCATAATATGCCTGGTATGCATTTTATCTGCAGACATTTTAACTTGGTTTTATGCAAACAAAATGTGAAGTAAAATGTTTAAAATAAGCTTCTAAACAAAGAATACAATCTCTCATTAGCAATAATGTATTAAATGTCACAACTGTTATAATTAAATCACATATTTATGTTAAGTAATGACAGTTGTTAAAAATACACAAAAACTTTCTATTTAACCCAATAAAATTAATAGGCATATTTTGCTACTCTGTATTGCATATGAACTATTTTTTAGTATTTTTAATGATTTGTGCATGCTAGGCTTGTAAACTTCTTGTTAAATTTGTGTTAGATCCTAGTTAAAATGCTTTTATAAATATACTATTGGGGTCTGGAATGGATTAATTTAATTACATTAATTCTTATAATTTAATTACATTATTTCTATGGAAAAAATTAGTTTAGTACTTAGACTTCTGGAACAAATTAGTTCAAGTACTGTACTGAGATACCACTGTATATTAATAATGAATCATTATTATATTCTGAAAATACTTAATAGCATTGAAAATCTAATAACTTCTGTTTAAAACTGTTTGTAATATTTAGATATAGTACATATTATCTTTTAAATTAGGGCCAACCTGGTGAGTCAGGCGCTCATGGAATACCAGGAATGCCAGGTCCGCCAGGACCTCCTGGAGATGTAAGTATTTTTAACATTTTTTGTTTGTTTATTTTACAATATGTTGACCATCAAATATTTTTTAGATTAATTAATACGTAAATTTCCAATTCATTGATTTTATTAATTTCTCATAAGAAAATCTAGAATCAATATTTTTATTATTTTCAAATGCTCTCATGCCAGGTAATTAAATTACTTATATAGACAAATGTTGTCTGAAGATGTGTTCTGTTGCTTAACCGGCTCATAACCAGCCCCTTGGGTGGGTCACAGAGTAAAGGAGCGATGGGCATTCTCGTGGTCTAAACATTACATGTTCTGTTGCATAACCAGCTCTTTGGGTGGGCCACAGGGTAAAGAAGGGATGGGCACTCTCGATGACAACCAAAAAAACCCGGATCAAGGAGAGAGAGGGAGATCACGCATGCTCAATGGAAGAAGTGGGACATTAGGTGAAGAAAGAAAAAAAGAGAGAAGACGAGTAGACGAGAGTCACAACTTATTTGTTATTTGTGCTGTTTCCTTTGTTTTAGTGTCTGTTATAGCAAAAGGACAGAAGTGATCGGAAGGACTAAACTAAACTTTAAGTTTCTTGCATTGGAGTCATAGAGTGTGTGATTTATTTGTTTGAAGTTTCTTTTTGTTTTGTTCCAGCATGGGGAACACTCTAAAGATCATGTACAGTACTTCCCCACACAAATGCCTTTTTATGAAAAGGAATTTAATATAATATGGATTTGGCCAGAATATTTTGGACTTTCATTAGTAATAAGTTGGAAAAGATGATTATAAACAAATTAGAAGAAGCAGACTGCTTTGTTATCTCAGAAAATAAATTCAAATAACAGAAAAAAAGAGGCTGTTTCTGTTGTTCCAATTCATTCTTTCTAATTTAATTTGCATTCATAGTATTATATATGCGTTATAGTAAAAAATTTTAATAGAAATGCAAAAACAAGGAAATAAACATTTTTATTGAAGATTGATATTTTTTTTGCTTTATAGAATTTTTTATAGTAAATGGCAAGCTAAATGAAAACAAAAATCACTGAAAAGATTTAGACTAGTAAATGATCTTAAAATTTTAATTGTAGATGTAGAAATGTTTTGTTTCTTGTAATAAATGACAACTTGTAAGAATACTGCACTCTTAGAACCTATAACTGGTGTGATATAAAAAAACAAAAGATAAAGATCACCACTAAATGTTTTCGAACTGCTGTGAGTTCTTCTTCAGGTGTGAAACAGAATAACTGATGGGACAGAGCGAACCGTTATGGAAATTCAGGAAACATTAGACAGTGTTATGTGAGATGCATGCATATTCGTCTGGTTGACATATCATGATCTTAAAGTTCAGAGTCCATCAATGCCATTTTTTTATATCATTTATTTTTATATCAGTTATAGGGTCTAAGAGTGCAGTATTTAACACATCCTGGTGTTTGTGGTGTAGTTTAACTTGTAAGAATTACAGAAAATTCAATTTTTTTGTTTTTTCTTGTTTTTAAAGATATGTGAAAATATTAAGTGTAAGAAGAGAAAAGTATATGTAGTGATCAAGTTAGCTAGAAAAATTTCAATTTAAATATTATTGCATTGAATTTTTCTAAGTGTTTTTATTCTGATACAATTACTCAAAATTTATTTTACTTTATATCAGATATAATATTGAATAAAATTAATTTTTTAATATTTAATTTTTTTTAAAAAATACACTTTAATTAAC